GAGACAGGGTCTTCCGATGTAGTTCATACTGGCCTTGAACTCATTATGTAGCCAAGGTGAGGCCAGCCTGGACTATGTAGTGAGACCCTGTCTCGATGAATGGATGAATGAATGAATGAATGAATGAATTTTAGCACAGTCAGTCAGCAGTGCCATAGTTGCTAGAAAAGGTGTCTCTGGCCTTTTGGCAAAAGAAAGGCATAGTCTTGATCCAAGATTGATTTACTTGTACATGTATATATGTGTGTGTGATCTTTTAGTTTATAAAGTACTGTCACATTTATTGTAATTTAGTTGTTAAAAGACAGTCCTGTGAGATGTGTGTTGAGTGTTAGTGCTGTTCTATAAATGAGGAAACTGAGGCTTTGGTGATCTCATTTTATCTTCTAAATAGTCTTAATACAGCCATATATGGTGGCACATGCCTTTAATCCCAGCACTTGGGAGGCAGACCCAGGAGGATTCCCATGAGTTTGAGGACAGCTTGAACTGCATAGGGAGACTGTCGCAAAGAAACCCAAAATCATCACCATCTAGTGCAGAAAACTTGTTCTAGGTTTTCTGGTTTTTTGGGGGTTTTTGGTACTGGGGATCAAACTCAGAACCTTGGGCTTGCAAGGCAGGTGGCAGAACCACTGAGCTAAATCCCCAGCCCAAACTTGTTCTAGTTTAAGGCCTTAGTCCTACTTAGTAGTACAGTATAACTGATTATCTAGTTTTAAAGTTGGTGTTGAATTTCTCTTGCAACTCAGCAAACTTCTCATAACAACTAGTTTTTCTTTGAGGGGAAAATGTCTAAACAGAAAACATAAGCTATGCTGTTTATCTCTGTACTGATGGATAGCTTTCCTGAGTCTCAGATGCATCTTTCCAGGTCATTTTTCTGAAGTATATTTTTTAAAATTCTTCCAATGCAGGTAAATGGGTGACAAACTCAGTTTTATTAATCTGAAAATATCATTATTTGACCCTCTATTAAATCATTACCAAACACATACACATACACATGTGCACACACACCCCTACGCATACCTTAATAATTATTTTGAGGCCGGAGATTTAGCTCAGTGGTTCCACTACCTGGCTCGCAACCACAAGGTCCTGAGTTTGATCCCCAGTACAAAAAAAAAAATTATTATTTTCCCTTGGCACTCTAGAAAAATTTCCAGTTTTAGTTGTTCTTAAGCAGTCTCCTGTCAGTTGCTTCTTATTTTTTAAATTTAAAAAAATTTTTTTTCCATTAAGTTGATTGCTACATTTTAGGTATAAAATACAGTTGCATTCATCATTGGGGTCTTGTACCTGTACATGAGTGTCTTGGTTCTTATTTTTTTCCCCTTCCCCTGCCCTCCCTTTTTACCCCCTCCACCCTTCCCTATTTGCAAAGACTTTGTTTCCTTTTTTTTCCTTTTTTCATATTTTTTCTTTTCCCTTCTTTCCTTTCCCCTATCCCTCCCACTTCCCCTGCTCCTTTAGACCTTTTCTTCCTATTACACAATATCAATTACACATTTTTAAAATTACAACATCAAGATCTAGAAGACATTACCACAGATTTTACAGAATTTAAAGGGATATAGAAAGCATATTACAAAAATCTTTTTTGAAATAAATTGGACAACTTCTAAGAAGTACCTTGGAAGACAAATTAATGAGACTGACTCTGGAGGAAATATAAAATTTGAATAGCACCTATTAAAGAAC